CAATAAAAGCAAATATCCCTTAAGTTCTATCCTATATTTGGCCTATTCTTGGCCACCTGATCTACCTATTCTGCGACGTTAAGGGATTTGTTGCTCCAACCTTCTCCAAATCCAACCATTTTCTTGTGTTCCCTTGTTTTTCCTCCCAGATGCATTACCTTTAACCTCTAAATTGAATTTTATTTGCCACTTTTTGGCCCACCTGACTAGACTTGGTGTCTTCCTGTAGTCTGTAGTTTTTTTTATTTTTAGGATAAACGCCATAATAGCAATGGACCCAGTACTGAGTACTGAACCCTGTGGAACCCCTCTAGAAACAGCCCTCCAGTCACAAAAGCACACAGCAACTAATAATCCTTTGCTGCTTGAAAGTGAGTTTATCTTGGATCCAACCCATCACTTCCCCGATCGCATGAATTTTACATTTTCAGACCATTTTGTTATGCTGGATCTTGTCAGAAACTTTGCTAAAATCTATGTTGATTACGTCAAAACTGGTATCCTCATCAACCCTGCTTGTTTCTTCCTCAAAAACCTCAACGATATCAGTCAAACATGCCCTTCCCATAACAAATCTATCTTGTCCTTTAATTAATCCATGCATTTATAACATTTTTTGCAATTTGTCAAATTTTTATCCACTAATTTGTGAACTACTAATGTTTGGCTTTAATTACTTCAGTTTTAAAGGATACATTGTCATCACCACATCTTCAGCCATTGAGAATTGAAAAGTGATGGTCAGAGCATCTGCCTTTTCCTTTTTTTTGTTTCATAATTTCTAATGGATAGGTCCTTGTAGCTATATTTATTTTTCTGTGAATATATTGTCATTTCCCACACCAAGTACAACGATTGCTGGCATAAGATGGTTCAGCTTGCCTTTGCTTCAGTTATGCTGCACGTATCAATACATTATTTGCTGTGAACTGACATCCCTGGGTGAATGTGTACACGCTGAGGCCAGATGTCTTGCTGAATGTTTAAGTGCATTTGTGGCTAAATAAACACAGCTACTGCAGAATAGATCCTGCTGGGATTTCTATGCAATGGAGTTGAAGGGAATTGTATGCTGGAATTTTGTTTCACGTTTATATGGAGTCCTTTCACTTGGATACAGTTCCATACTATTGTTAGTTTTTCAGTGTTTCAGAATTTATCTGGTGTTCCTGGCAGGGCAGATTTACAGATCAGAAGCCAATATTGCGGGTGGGTAGCAACTATGCTAAGATTTCAGCAGTGATCATTCCCAATGGATTGGAGGTGAGGGGACGGGGTAAAAGTAGACAAAGCCTTCAGTTAGAAAAATCATATTGTTATTCTGTTTATTATTATTTCAGCCCAAAATCTCAGTCTGACAGCATGCCAGAATAAATAACTGCTTCGTGGCAAGTAGTAGCAACTTGATGGTTCTTGCCTTTTGGAGTAAATTGCATTTTTCTATTATTGAGCTGTCTTTGAAGACCACAGTGGGCTTAGTAACACCACCTGGTTAAAAAAAAATAGAAGCTAGGCTAAACCAAAGGATGCCAAACAGGGGACATTGAAACAAAAGGTTGGCGTGATTGGAGGGTGATATATCAAGGCCTGGATGAGGAGAAGGGTTTTGAGCTTTTTTAAAAATAGGATACAGATGGCTGCCCCTTTGAACCTGGAGAAACTGACTGGCATCTTTGATTAGCTGCCCAGGAGTAAGTCCCCAGGGCTGGGCAAGCTGCCCATTGAGTTCCCCAGGTGTTCTGGGATGTCCAGGGAGGCAACTACTGCAGGTTCTGGGGGAATGCATCGTGAGCAGAGAGATGCCCCTTTCTTGGTGCAGGGCTGTCATTGCTTTCTTGCGCATGAGAGGAGATCTCCATCTGATAAAGAGCTGGTTCAGTCTCCATCCTCACTGTAGACTGTAAATCCTTGCCAGGGCAAGTTCTTTACACCTCGGCACAGTGCTGGACTGCATGATCCACCCAGACCAGTGCTACACCGTCCTGGATTGGAGCATTCATGATAACATCCACCTGGTTTGGGACGTGATCCATCTTTCTCAGAGGGCTGCTATGTCTCATGCCCTTCTAATCCTTGATCAAGGAAAAAGCGTTCAGCAGGGTGGATCGCAATTGTCTGCATGGCATTTTGTATGTTTTTAAGTTCAGGAGGCATTTTGTCACCCAGATCCAACCTCCCTACACTGTCGCAGAGTGTCTAGTGAAGGTTAGTGGGTCCCTGATGGTGCCACTGCATTTCAGGAGGGAGTGCATCAAGGCTGTCCCCATCTAGCCAGTTGTATGCTCTCTGCGTGGAGACATTCCTGTGCCTCGCGTGGAAGCAACTGTCGGGTCTGGCTCGGTGCGGAGCGAGGCAAGGTATGGTCCTTTTGCCTCATGTCAGTGGCACGTTTCTTACTCCAGTTTCCAGCTGACAGGGAAGCTCAGTTGCTTCAATGGAGTACCACTCACGTCTAAGAGAGATGCCATGGATTCCTGGTCAGTAAATTGACAAGAATTGGAATCCAAGGTGACTGCTTTTTTTACTCTTTATTCATTCATGGGATGAGGGCATCGCTGGCTAGGCAGCATTTATTGCCCATCCCTGATTGCCCAGATGGTGGTTAAGAGTCTGGACTCACATGTAGGCCAGACCAGGTAAGGATGGCAGTTTCCTTCCCTGAAGGGCATTAGTGAACCAGATGGGTTTTTTCGGCAATCGACAATGGATTCATGGTCATCGTTAGATTCTTAATTCCAGATACTTATTGAATTCAAATTCCACCATCTGCCATGGCTGGATTCGAACCCAGGTCCCCAGAACATTATCTGGGTCTCTGAATTAACAGTCCAGCGACAATACCACTCGGCCATCGCCTCCCCCTAGGTTTAGGGCACTGGTCACAACTGGTCTGAGTATTATCTTTCAGGGGGCGAGTGTTGGTCATAAACCAGCTGGTTGCTGCCATGCTGTGGTAGTGGCTGGTCACTTTGTTCCTTCCTCTGGGATTTGTCACAAACGCATTGAGTTTTTCTGGGGCAAAAGACAACGCTGCATCACTGCTGAGGTTCTGAGACTCCCACTTGAGAGTGCTAAGGCGCTGGTGTGCTTCTGCACCCAAGTTACGACTTCCTGCCTTCAAACCCTGCCCTTTCTGTTGAGCCTCCTCCAAGGTGCCCTGATGCCTTTTTCCCCCTTCAGGTGCACAGCTTCAATTACAATATGTAGTTCCTATTTACGGAGTAGTCCTGCAATTCCAGGAATTGCTTGTTACTTGAACTTGATCAAAGTTTGGGATATGTTCAGCTCATGACTGAGCACTGTCCCTGCAGGAGTGGCGGCTCAGGAGCAGATTCCTCCATCAGCATGGTTTCTGCTGGCTGACAGAAGGAAGAGTTCAGCACCTTAGACTGACCAGATTTGGGGATATGCTGGATGACGCTGATGCAACGTCGGGCAACATCCAGTTTGCAACCTGAGCCATTCAGAGCCTGATGGACAAGTTACTCGACCCTAATGCCTCATGTGAAATCAAGGCATCTCAGGCATGTGGTGGGCCTTAGGACGAAGTCATCCCTGTGTGTCCAGAACTTGATGTTGGCTCAACATGCCAGAGCCTCCTCCGGGATGCAGGACCCCATGGTCTGAGCCATCTCGCAGGGAAAACCTCCCTGTACTTTTGGAATGGCATGGAGGCATTCCTTGTACGGGCTACTGCTGCACACTCTCCACTTCCCCTCCTTAGTCTGCCACTGGGATATGGCTTGGCGTAACATTTTGCCCTCAAACGACAGAGATCCCCATTGGATTGCCTTCTGCAACAGGGTCCTCACCTTTTTAATCAGGGATGGAGAGTGTTACGTGCAGCAGTCCTGTGTAATTATAAGCTAAAGTAAGTTTGCTGGATGCCAGGCCATGTGTAATTTTTGTGACCCTGAGAAAAAAGGTGTTTCATATTCAGTGTTTCAGTTTGCTACCCCTTTTTTAATTTTTTGAATGGGCTGCTTCTTAAATTTTGGTTATACTTCAACCCCAGGCTCTTGATCTATGGACACCTCGTGCCAGGAGGAGCAGACAGGTCAGAGTGTCATCTCTTCGATCTGCTCCTAGGCCTGGCCACAGTGGACTTAACAGGTCCAGGCAGCAGGCCATGGAGGTGGTCATTGTTCCTGACTATCTGCCCTTCTTTTGTTGTTACATCTGCAGTGGGATGTGCCTGTAGAGGAAGTATGCAATGCTCGCCGATCTGGTAGATGCCTTTAGAGACCAGTAGGTGCTGCAGGGTTTGGGATGCATCATTGCATTAGAAAATTTTAATTTAGTTTACTCAGTTTCTGTTTCATTGTATAATATTCCGTTAAACTGCTAATTTGTGTTTATTTTGACAGAGTGCCCCTGTAGAGGCAGTTTGATGTTCTGTTTAAAAGAATATTGGGAGCTTTACTCAGTCCCCATCAAGCACTCCCAGGACAGATACGCCAATGTGGTTAGATACAATGACGAGGGAGCTTTACTTTAAGTTTAAAAAGAGTGCAGAGAGCTGGCCCTGTGCTGTCCCTGTTCTTTGCGTGTTTAATGGGACAGGATTGAGGAAGCTTTGATTCCATTTTAAAATAGTCGAGTGTACTGGGCATTGAATTCAAGTGTGCAGAATCATCATAATGGAGAAAAGTTGCTGCTGATGTTGGGGGCAAGAGTATAGGGTAAGAATTGTGTGTCAGACTTGGCAGGTGCATCTGGGGACATATTGGTATGGTGGGATGATTCCATTAAGGGATTTTTGAAAGTTAGGATAGGATCTTTGAAGTCACATCATCAGAACATGGTTCAGTATCTTAATTTAAAACTGGTGTTATACTGCAGCTGAACTATTCTGTGAGAATGGTTTCATATCTGCATTTAAGCCACGCGTGAAATTGAATTCCCCAAATGTGTAGTTGTATTCCTGTTGCAGCCTGAGTGCCTCTGTTTGTTTCGAGTAACATTACCTGACATTTGAAATAATATCTTTTCCTTCGTAGGTTCACATCAAGTTCCGATTGGTAATTGATGCTGGAATTTAGAACTCTCCTTACTATTAAGGTCAGCAATATAAAGCAGTCAGCTTGACTGATTTGACTTCAGAGCACTGTTGTCTAAAAATTGTGGATTCAATCCCCCTCCAAAAAATGTGTTTAATTTTAGCCACTGTTCTGCATGATACAATAATAGAGATGGCATTTCTCAGAAGAGATGATAAGGTCGTGTTTTTCTGTTCACGTGAATGCTAGCGATCCCATGAGCCATCATCCTTTCAGTGTCCTAACAAGATTTCTTCCTCGCCCATGATCATGAAAACCAATAAATTTGTCAGTCCTATTAATAGCGCCTTTCTGTACTTGCCTATATAACAGTTACAGCACTTCCATTGTAAATAACTCCTTGAGAATCATTTTTAGAGATGTAGCAGTTCCCTCACTGTTGTTGGAAGCAGTCCACCATACTTTTCTCCAACTTTGGCAGATCTATTCAACAATTATTATCAATGTGCTACAATATCTTGCATGTTAAAGCAAGGGCCAGGGATTTATTAATTTACAGTTTTACTATGATGTTTTATTTTGATGCTCTGACATTCCTGAAACCGTAATATTTCATGTCTAGTGAAGTAAATACCACTGTTAAAGGAAAGGACTGCCATTTTTCAATGCCAGTAGGCTGAGAGACCATAAGACATAGAGCAGAAATTAGACCATTGAGCCCATTGAGTCTGCTCCGCCATTCAATCATGGCTGATAAGTTTCTCAACCGCATTCTCCCCGTAACCCTTGATAGTCAAGTGGATCAAGAACCTATCTATCTCCGTCTTAAGTATACTCCATGACCTGGCCTCTGTGACAGCGAATTCCATAGTTTCACCACTCTCTGGTTGAAGAAGTTTCCCCTTATCTCTATTCTAAAAGGTCTTCCCTTTACTCTAAGGCTGTGCCCTCAGGTCCTAGTCTGTCCTATCAATGGAAACATCTTCCTAACATCCTCCCTGTCCAAGCCATTCAGTATTCTAAGTTTCAATTAGATCCCCCCTCATCCTTCTAAACTCCAAGGAGTATAGACCCAGAGTCCTCAAATGTTCCTCATATGTTAAGTTTTTAATTCCTGGGGCTATTCTTGTGAACCTCCTCTGAACCCGCTCCAGGGCCAGCACATCCTTCCTGAGATATGGGGCCTGAAACTGTGCACAGTACTCCAAATGTGGCCTGACCAGAGCCTTTTAGCGCCTCAGAAGTACACCCCTGCTTTTATATTCAAGTCCTCTCAAAATAAATGCCAAAGTTGCATTTGCTTTCCTAACTACTGACTCAACCTGCAAGTTTAACTTGAGAGAATTCTGGAATAGAACTCCCAAGTCTCTTTGCACTTCAGACTTCTGAATTTTCACCTATTTAGAAAATAGTCCGTACCTCTACTCTTCCTATCAAAGTGCTTGACCTCACTGTCCCACGTTGTACTCTGCCACATCTTTGCCCACACTACTAACCTGCCCAAATCCTTCTGCAG